TTTTTTTTAATTTAAATTTTGATCATTTTTAACGAAGTTACGGCTGCTCTTAATAGCAATACGGAAAAACGACATTATTTTCCCGACAACCCAATAACATAAAGTTTATTTTAGTACAAAAAGATTTTTATCTGAATTTTGAATTAGAAATTAACATACCGTCCAATTGATTAAGCAATTCCAACATAGTTCTCTGAATCTCCCTTTCGCCTCCACTATTGCTGTCGTATCTTTTCGTTCCTACTGCATCTATTTCGTCTATAAAGACAATAGAAGGAGCATGCTCCTCAGCAACTCTAAAAAGTTCTCTTACAAGCTTTGGACCATCCCCTAAATATTTCTGTATAAGTTCAGAACCGACAACCCTCAAAAATGTAGCTGATGTTTGATTGGCTACTGCCTTGGCAAGCAGTGTCTTCCCTGTGCCAGGTGGTCCATAAAGTATCACACCTTTCGGAGGCTTAATACCCATTTCTTCATAATATTCCGGATGAGTCAATGGTAATTCTACAGATTCTTTAATCTCCTGAATTTGAGTATCAAGACCTGAAAATATTCGTGAGTCATACTCTTTGATTTTTACATAATAATTCCTGGATAATTTTACATAATTTACCAAAAGCAATATTTCTTCAACAATTTATAAGTAAAATTCCATTTCGTTGAGTTATTTCAATTTACACATATTTTAAAGTCAAATTTTATGCTTAAGTCTTGAATTAAGTTTCGTTAAAATTCAATTTTGTTTGAGAGAGAAATTTTGTGTTTTCAAGTTCCTTGTTAAAAATTATAAACCTTGACACAATTTTATAAAAAGATATAATTAATTATAAATTTATCAGCATTTATATAGATCAACATGAAATACTACGAAATATTTGAATATAAAACAGATGAATATAAAAAAAGTGTATGTATATATATATACATATATACAGGGTGAGGCATTTAAAACAAGTTATCTAAATAACTCGCTTGTTTGTAACAATAGAAGGAAAAGTGCCGAACAAAAATTGCATGGTTTCAAGGGGAACGTATTTTGGTCATATTGTCTTTCTTCTAGGTGGAGGTGCTAAAAAGATATGAAGTCACCTCCGTTGTTTTAAACGGAATTGTATGATTTTTTTTACACAATATGATTCTTCTAATTATTCTGCATATAAAAGTATTAAGGTAATGATATCAAAAAACCAATAGTTTACGAGATATTTTATATTTTATTGTGGCACATATTGACATAAAATATTAAATAACTCGTAAACTATTAATTTTTTTATAATCGTACCTTAATACCTTTATAGAGAATAATGAGATGAATCAATTGGTGGAAAAAAATCACGTAGTAGCTATTAAAAGAATATATATGCAAAATGGATTTTTTTTTAAAGCAACGATGTATTTTCTTTTCACCAATTCATTCATCTCATTATTCTCTATAAAGGTATTAAGGTACGATTATAAAAAAATTAATAGTTTACGAGTTATTTAATATTTTATGTCAATATGTGCCACAATAAAATATAAAATATGTCGTCAACTATTGGTTTTTTGATATCGCTACCTTAACACTTTTATATGCAGAATAATTAGAGGATCCATATTGTATAAAAAAAATCATAAATTCCATTTTAAAAAAATGGAAGTGACCTTCATATCTCTTTAGTGCCTCCACCTAGAAAAAAAACAACATAACTAAAATACGTTCTCCTTGAAACCATGTAACTTTTGCTTGACACTTTTCCATCTATTGTTAAAAACAAGCGAGTTATTCAGGTGACCTGTTTTAAATGCTTCACTCTGTACATATACACATATAACATACCTCCGATATCAGTGTACGTCTCTTGAGGAGCTTTTTCAAGCTTCATCACTGTAACCATAGGATCTGTATCATCTCCTAAGACGCCAACAACAGCATGAACTTTATGATTTAACAGCACGGAGCAACCAGGTTCCAATTGATCCTTATCCACAAATGACAAGATGGATACATAGTGCTCGGAGCCAACCGAGGTAGACACTATTGCATGATTGTCATCGATTATTTCTTCCAATGTTCCAACGGACATTGGTGTACCACGAAGATCGTCTACTTTTGATCTTTCCTCCTCGTTCTTCTCCTCCTGTGGCTTCAGGCGTTCCTGATTCCTAATAAACTCCTCCTCCATCAGTAGATAATCCTTTATGCGCTCCATTTTTAATAATTTCAGTCTACAACGTGTGTGAGGAGTCACTTGTGGCAATTTCAGAGCTGCATCTGGTCCCTTAGTACGCCTCTTTTTTTTACCCACTCTCGTAGGAATCGGCGGCTCGTACTTTTTCTTCTTGTCCTTGTCATCCTTCTTGTCTCCTCCGCTGCCACCAGTCCCAGATTGATTCTGACCCTGTGTGACAATTTTTTTATTATTATTAAAGAATTTCACTGATAAATTAAAAGCTGCATTGAAGGAAATATCCTAATCGTTTGAGAAAAATAAAATTCTTTTTGATAAAACTTGAAAAATGAATTAGAGCTAACATTTGAAGGATGGCTAACCTAAGTCTAAACGATCGATAAGTAGAGTAGATCTTAGAAAATTAGCAACAATACGCAACTGTTTTTATCGAATAGCAAAGCCTGAATAGCAAAGCCACTTCATGTTCTACATTAAATAATAATCAATTGACAGTTTTAACAGACTCACCATCTTTCCTTACGCTCAATCTGGCTTGTCCCCTCTTCGAAACGGCGAAGTCATTCGCTGAATCGCCGCAGCGATTCGATTGTGCACAGTCGATAAAAAAAGATCGATATCCGCTTTCCCGCTGCGAGTTGTGATTGCGGATAAAGAAAACGTCTTCCAAATTTATTTTAATAAGCTTCTCCGAATTTGTATAAAAAGATCTTATCTATGAGCTGAATAGAATTAATAATGATATAAAACGTATTCAATTTACATGAGAAATGACCGGATCGTTTCAAGAAATTCGAGAAATATTCACATACTCTTTTCTCATTTTCGAATCATAATCGGAGATGTTCAATGGATACACGATCACTTTTGCTTCAACATTCAATAACTCGGTGAAAAAAAATCGTACAGCGCTCAATAAAAAAGCAAACTGAAGGTAAAGATTCACTCTTTCGACTGCCGTGAACCGCATTTTTGTGTGAATTTTACTTCACGCCATGGACCTTTGTAAAGTTTGTAAAAATTTTTCAGATATGACGTGTATCCATTTGTGTCCGTATATCTCCGTAAAGAATCAGTCAAATTGAAATATCAATTACCGATTTCGTAAATAGAGATTTCAAGCTTTCAAAGCTTTTTTTATTTTTTGTCTGCGATGATTTTTCACCGAGTTACGGTGTTCTGAATATTGCGCAATTTTGAGCGTGTTCGAAAGAGTTCCTCATTTTTTGTTGAGTAGTGTATAAAATCATTTATTAGCTGAAGAGAATTGAAGATGTAAAACCTACCCAATATTTACAGACACGAGAAACAATTAGTAAACTTAGGAAAGTCTCAGACAATTATTCGTACAATAACTCTTCTTCCTCTCATTTCTGAAGTCATAATAATTAAAAGACGACTAGCGCGAATCACGAAAAAAAATTTAAGAAACCCATAAAGAAAATGTTGGAATGCATGTGATGCATGTGTTTATGACCTACAGGCGTATAAAGATAGATGAAGTTAAGATAAAAGATTTTAGTGTGTAACCGGATGAATCGAGAGGCGCTGAAAATTTCGGTTGCGATGCGCATTTTTTTCGCGTTTCACTTTTTTGCTTTCGCCTTCCGCTATCTTCTTGCTTGTCTCGATTATAATAAAGAGTCGTTGCAAAACAGTCGTATCTTCTTATTGTCCGTTAAAAGTAAAAGCTGCTAAAGGCACACTTTTTCAAGACAACGTGTCTAATATTTACAACAGAAAAAAATTCGGTCATTTATATAATTATAAGTTATTATTATCATAAATATTAGCGATTAATTACGATCTGTGCCAACAGCATTGTTAAAATGAAACGAAATTCAATGTTTAATCAGCGTGCTTTATATGCGTTATTTCTTCGTTAATATACAGTATCGAACGATATACAATGTATTTTACAATGAGACTAAAAGAACATTCGCACATTTTCACGCATAAAGCTGTGATCTGACGATGCAAACGTAATGATGGAAACTTCGCTCGCGAGACAACAACACTCGCCGACCTCGCCGTTATTATCAATAACAGTGCAAGTGGATTCGTATCAAACATTCGAACGGCGACTCAAAACATTCGTCGCAGGACTTGGCAGTGTACTCTACTTTTGTTCGTTAATGCGTGATTAAACGGCCCTTCCATCCCATCATACCCTCCCACATACATAAAATACTCTGTCATAAAAACATATCTTGTCCACATTGGGTAATTCAGAAACACGACTGCTCACTGAGTGCTCAATGAGCTCTTGCATCTGATTGGCATATTCCATTAGACCTAAAAATATTGACCGAACAAGTATAAGAGCATTGGGTGCATTTAGGGCGACTGTTACCAACGCCGATTAACTTAATCGGCTGATTAGTCCATTGGAATTGACCAATCGCATTTGTCATTTTGTTTGACGACAGATGGCGATTGGCCAATTCCAATGGACTAATCGGTCGATTAAGTTAATCGGAGTTGGTAACAGTCGCCCTTAATACTACAATCGCTCAGTAAGCGGTCGTGGTACTGAATGGCTGCGTTCAGCAGAACGTTCGTTTTGCAACTGTTGGAAGTTTCCTTCGAGCTGATTAGATCATACTTTTAGATCTAGAAGAATGGTCCTATCTCAGCAGACAATCATAAAACGGTTGCAAAACTGTTGAGTCTGCTGAACGCAGCTAATGCACCCAATGACTACGTTTACGCGGCTCGATTTACGCCAAAGTTATAACATCGATATTATCAAATTGGCCAATCACAGCTATTCATTCCTCTGAAGAATGGAATGACTGTGATTGACACTTTCATAACATCGATGTTACAACTTCGGCGTAACCGTGTAAACGTAGTCTTAGGCCGGTATTCATAGTCAGTTCTTATATTCAAGATCGTCTCAAGTTCAGCCTTGAGGTGTTATGAACCAATAAGAGAGCCGCATTAGCGTATTAAGACATTACTTAAGACGGTCTTGAAATAAGAACCGACTATGAATACCGGCCATAGTTGATTTATCTCTTTTTATTTAATAAGCAACTTTTGTGTGATTTACAAAATCACGAATGAGCCATTTTCCTTCGAGTGCAAAATTCCTCATGTGCAACATATCTCCCCCTCCCCCTCTCCCCGAGATGCTCGATATATAACGTACAAATACCAACAGTAATATCACTTCCATGTATTTAAACATTTATCAAATCACGTTACTTATCCTACGGCCGCAATGTGATGCATCAACAACGCTAAAGAGACTTATATTGGTGAGAGATTTTATTTTAGCTTATGAGTCTACATCTAGAGTACTTAGGGTAAGTACCTTCTAGCCCTTCCTTGGCTCCAACCTCTCTGCGCTCCGTCTTTCGACACCGATCGACATCAGTGTTGCGACAGAAATATGAATGCTCGCAAGAATGCGATTATCGGTTCGGCATTGATTCGGGTTGCCGAATAATGTGTAGAGAAATTCCAATAACAAAAGTTACGTCGTCCAGCGATATACAGACTGTAACGTGCGAAGTGAATTCGCCTTACAATACTCTCAAGAGTTGCAAGAATTCAGAATAATAGACAGGACTAGTTCGCCAGTTTATCGTTATTTATGACTGCACCTGTCACGTCATCTCACATGTGACTTGGAGATTAATGGTATTCGAAATAAGGTATCGAGAGACGTTCCTTAGAGGGGACGTTCCAATGATTAGAGGTTTCCGGAAGCGGAAAAACTCCTTGCCGAGATTCCAGATTCTCGCGTCGCGTTCTTGTTTATCCAATAGTGATCAACCGCATCGTTAACACGCGCGACAAATGTGTCCCAAGTTATTAAAGGCCAGCCAAAATAATTCTAGGATCTTCCACAGAGTCTTTGATCTTCCTCAGGAACATCACAGCCTCACGTCCGTCAATCAGCCGATGATCATATGTCAAAGCTATATACATCATTGGCCGAATTTTAACCTGAAAATACAAACGTTTGTAAGCAATTTTATAATGCAATTATGAATTTCATAGTTAAAATTAAAAGATTTTAAATTAAAGAAGATTAAATACTTAAAGATTCAAATGAAAAGATTAAAAAATTAAAGTTTAAATAATTAAGAAATTAAAAGCTCTTCCCTTCAGTGAACTTTACCTCTCCCTTAACGGCGATAGGTCTGTCAAAAACACCGTGCATGCCAAGAATCGCGCTCTGCGGTGGATTGATAATGGGAGTTCCTAGCATCGAACCGAAAACGCCACCGTTGCTTATCGTAAAAGTACCGCCATCCATATCCTCGACGGTAATCTTCCCTTTTCTAGCCTTTTCACCCAGAGCGGCCAAAGCGATTTCGATTTCGGCAAAATTTTTGTTTTCTACGCTGCGAAGTACAGGCACTACAAGTCCCTTCGGCGTCGCGACTGCCACACTAATATCTACGTAATCTCTATATACTATATCGGTGCCGTCTATCACGGCATTCACCACGGGTTGATCTTTTAGAGCATAGGCACTGGCCGCGACGAATGGACTCATGAACCCGAGTTTGATGCCGTACTTTTTCGTAAACGATTCTTGATGCGCCTTCCGGAACTCAATAATGCGACTGCAAATTAATGATGTACATTAATGAGTAACTGAAAGATAAGAGTACAAACTAGGGCTGATGATTTGGACCGGGTAATGAGATACCCATAACGCCTAATAACATTTTATATATGTATAGTATTTCTAAATATAGTTTTCAGTTGAAAATTATTATGTGTCGCTCACTATCGGATTTGAAATGCAATCATAAACTGAAACTAGAAATATCAAAAGTTAAAATAATCGTCAATTTTTAATAATACATAATGATGATTCTTGAAAAAAGCTCTTAGAACTTAATTTTAAAATAATTTAATTTGTACTCGTATGTACAACATTCACATATTTTTACACAGAAAGAATGGGTTTGCTGAAATATCTGCAAATTTGACGTGATTATAAATACAATTTTCTTAAATTGCGCACCGCTTTCTGCCGGATTTCGAATGCAATTATAAACTGAAACTAGAAATATTGCAAATTAAATTGGTCATTAATTTTTAATAATGATGCTATCAAACATCTCTCTTAACAGCGTTTTAAGAAGCTGGATAGTATCATTATTAAAAATTGATGATCAATTTAATTTATTCCCAGTTCCAATTTATGATTACGTTTCAAGTCCGATAATAAGCGACACGCAATTTAAGACTAAAAACTGTATTTAGAAATACTATACATAACATATATAAAATAATATTAGGTATCAAGATCCAAAAGCATCTCTACTTATTTATTTGTATATTAAGTATATATAGTAAAAAACGTGGAATACTTCATATATAACTCTATACAAATAAAAATATGATTATGTCAACGAATATGGATATAGGTACCAGAGTATTACCCGCGTATAGTAATCGGGTACCCGGGCATCATTAGCTCTAATACAAACATGATACACACATTTTACAAGGGAAGTTTCACAACTGTCCAGAACCAATTTGATTCTCCATGAAATATATTATTAAACACGAAAAAATCTAAGAGATACATATTTTTTTATACGTACAAAAGTTGTACGGTTTCAAGAGTGTGTACTTCAAAAAAAATTTTTTTCTTCACAACATTGAAGTACTCTTGAAACCGTACAACTTTTGTTTAAAAAATTTTTTTCCATCTTTTATATTTCCGACGGTATTCGGCTCGAAATAGAAATACCGTTTTTTTTTTCAAAGGGATGTTTACTCCTTAAACATGAATTAGCGCACGTATAAAAAAGTACGTGTTTCTTAGATTTTCGTGTTTGACAACATATTTCATGGAAAATCAGATCGATTCCGGACAGTTGTGAAACTTCCCTTCTTAGTATGGATAAAATTTTTAAATACATACCGTTTATTTACTACAGTAGCAACATAATTAAAAAATTGTTAATTTTTTTAATTGCTTTCAAAAAAAAGAAAATGTATTTCAAAAGAACATATTGTTTTTTTTATAATCAATTATTACACCAAAATTCCATTTTCAAATTAACATTATAAAACTTTAATGATTCAAAACATTTAAACTTGTTTTCTAGAAAACTTTGTTTTTAGTTGTGTTGCTGGTGTAGTAAATGAGCGATAGATACATACGAAATATAGAATATTGTAAAGCGTTTCCCAGCGAGACACAATTAATGAAATGGTAACGCAGTAAATCGTCTTTGTTGTTAAACATCAATGTTAAACAAGGATGATTCAATGGGTGCATTCAGCAACTGCTTACTGAGCGCTCAGCACACATTGTGTGTGTTACATTGTATGTGATTTTTATATTAATACGAGCGATCATATTTGAAATTACCTCATGTCAATTTCATTAAACGTGGTCAGCATAGCGTTCGTGTTCTGCGCGTCCTTCAGACGTTCCGCAATACGTAGACGCATTCTATTCATTTTCACTCGCTGCTCTGTCCTGGTGCCAATTATTTCGCGCGTATAATCGGCGGGAGGTAGCTGAACTTTTGCGCCTTCCAACGACTAATAATACATAATTTTCATAATATTATATATCTAATAATAACTAATGCATAATAATAACTGATATTTACCTGGGCATGTTTAATAGCCGCAACTGGCATGGATGCAGTAGGTGCTTGCGGAGATGGTGGTTCAGCGGCGGGAGGTGGGATCGGCGCTGCGGATCTCGGCAGTGGAGGTGCCACACTTGGGGCTGATGGTGTTGGAGGAGGTGGCACAGGTTTCGGTGCCTTTTCCACTGGCGCAGCCGCAGGAGGTTGTGGCGCTTTCTCCCCAGGTGCGGCCGCAGCACCGCCGGTTGCACCGATATCGATGGTGCACAACTTCTGTCCCGGCTTTACGGTATCGCCATCCTTAAAGAACAGTTCCTTTATGACGCCGGGCCCGGGCGACGGTACAGGAACAGAAGTCTGTGGACAAGCACGATTAAATTTTGAATAGTTATATCCCTGAATGTATATCATAATAATCGCAATTATTCCTACCTCGTGTTACATTCATTCTACAATTGCGTAAGCGTAGTTGTAAGTGGTTGTTCAGCGTCAATTTATAAAAATTAACCAAATTATAGCCGAATATTCCCTTTATATTCGATTGTGACTCGATACAGTCAATTCTTACAATAGTTACAACCACTTGCAACTATGCTTTTAAAATTGTACTATAGGCTTAAGAATTGACCAATCACAGTCGAATATAAAAGGAATATTCAATTATGATTGGTCAATTTTTATAGCTACAACTACTTGCAACTACACTTGAGCAATTATAGAATGGGCTTTACACAATTGTAGAATGGTCTTTACAAGCGAAAGAAACAAGAAACGTCCTAGATGCTTGCCTTGTCCGTTTCGATCTCGCAGAGCACATCGTCTTCCTTCACCTGGTCGCCAACCTTCTTCTCCCACCTCACGTCGCCCTCGCTTACACTTTCGGCAAACGCAGGAACTACAACTTCCCTGATCTCCCCTGTTTAGATAACATATTATACCTGATTAAATTAACTGTTACGTCTTTACTTAAGACGTAACAAGAACATAAATTGTCATACTTACATAGTGCTGAAGTCGAACGAATATGTCTCGCTTGATTTATCCAATAGTGGTTTGCCTTGTATTTTCTACATCTGTATACAAAAGAACGTTTTAATTTTTAATCTTTTTACCTTCATCTTCCGGGTAGCGATCATATGAACTTTTTCCCATAGGATGGATATATGAGAAGAAAATTTTTATCATTGAAGTTAATGGAGAAATTTTTTACTTTCTACGTTTTTACCTTAAGGAAAAAGTTCTAAGAAAAGAAAAAGGTATATGCTTGGTATCCTGCTTCTAAAGGATCAATCATACAACTTTTTCCATAGAGCAGAATCTTGAAGTGAAAATTTTTTTGAACATATATATATGTTATGTGAATATATACATATGTTTATATATACAAATTTTTACTTTTGACTTAAAAAATTTTTGTTTTTATTCTCATACATGATAAATACTTGAGAATTGAAAGTAATTAGGGTAGCAAAAAACTATAATTCCCAGTATATAAATAATTATTAATTTATTAAACTTCTATATAAGTGACACGTGTAAGACCAAAAATAAATACATGCAGATACGGCTGGATATTTTTGCATTTAAAATGCCATTTAAAATGTAATTCTATTTAAAATGCTAAATGTAAAATACTATATTAAAATGTATGTAGGAAAAACCGTTCTGTATTTGAAAACTCTAATTATAATAAATTTAAAATATCTATTTATCCATTTTATATATAAAGTGGATTTCAAAAACATTTGGCATTTTAAATGATTACCCAGCCCTGCATACAGATACAAGTCACAAAATAATGCTACTTACAACAGAGCTTTGGCATTAGGCACATGTTCGGCGTGGATAATGCAAACAGGGATAAGAGTGCGCCCTATAAAAATTTATCATAATTAATCATTTTTCGCTGATGAGCTTTTCCAAGTTAACTCGTTGTTTCTCACAGCTGTAGTTTTCAAAACCCTCGTTATATACAAGTCATCAGCCTTATCAGTGTCTTATCATCTCTTATTAACCTTACCTTGACTACACAACGATCTCGCGACCTGCAAGAAAAACGAACGCAGGAGCTAGTTAGTTTTATTCCAGCTGGGGCAATATATTTAACACATACAGCAACATACAGTTTAAAAACGGCTTGATTTTCAGACAAAAAAAGGAGCGATTGATCTTATGAAATGCATGGTACTGGTACGGTGGCCTTGCCGGGGATAAAAATAGTCATTATTTCAATGATGAAAAGAGCGAGAAAAGAAAGAAGAGAAAGAAAGAGTCGATGTCAAGCGGAGTATCATTAGATGCTTATCACGGACTGATTTATCCTGCAGATGACAAGGGAAACTTCTCGCTTGATTGACAGACGGTGTATACCGCATGAGTCACAATTGGATATTATTGGGTCGAGAGGTGGACGTATTATGTAACCGTCGTCGCGATATGAAAAGCCAAGGGAAATTCTAACGAAACTTCACGAGCAAACAGAACCGCGATTCGCGGCGGCGAGCATCCTTTGAATTAATTCGGGACGAGTAAAGTGTCGATCATCAGCAGCCGCTACCGTAGATAGGAGGACAAGGGAGGAAACGGCTCGTTCATCGTACTCACCTCGGCCCGTAACACGCTACTCCGCGTGATAACGCGAGGCGCGAACCGCGAACAATTGGACAGCATCGCAGCCATCCTCAGGCAGGCGAAGCGTGCACACACACTCGGACGTCCACTCGCGAACGGTAAACGGTGGGCGGACAACGGGGAACGACGGGGCGCGCACCCACAGGTTTCTCGTTCGCTTCGCGGCGATAACGGCGCGGCGGGCGGGACGAACAGGGACGAGACGTCGAAGCGGGAAATTACTTAAGCCGGCAGCCGGAGATTGCATCAAATCACAGATGTGCGGCTGCGAAGTGCGGCGGCATCTATTAAGAATGGACTACACTAGCAGTTTACCTGTAAATTTTTTTTCGGCAATTCTCATTTAAAATCATAGACTGGCTGTTTTTTTTTTTTTTTTTTTTTTTTTTTAAAAGATGAAGAGTAAGTTGAAGCCAGATTTAAGTCATTATTAAGCATTAAGCTACATTGATAGAAATGGACACTCAATGAATAACAAAGGCTGCTTTTCTTTTAGAAAACAGTGTCACAATTCTTGTTGTATTCCTTATTCATTGAATGCTAATGCTTTTTTAATCATTTCCATTGATGTAGATTAACTTTAATCTCAATTCAACTTACTCTTCAACTTTTTTCTAATTCTTATAATCTCGGTTCAACTTTTTACTTTCTCTATCTTTTTCTAATTCGACAAATTTAAAAAGAAAGATAAATAAAGATAAATTAAACTAAGATTAAAATTAATCTTACATTGGTGGAACCAGGCCTTGGAGCTTAAAAAACCATAGAAAGTTAAATCAAGATTAAAGTTGATCTACAGCGGAAGTGGATATAAGGATAGAATGAAATTTAAATTGTTTCCCTAGGGAAAACAGTCGAAGATAGAATGACACTTGTGTCCTCTAAAAGGAAAGCAGCCTATGTCTCAAAGGCTGTGTTCAGCAGAGAAAATTAATCAGTTAGCGCTTAGTGATTCTTTAATACAATTGATTCCTACATTTAGATTTTGCGAAGAATTAAAGGCAAGAACCAATCATATTAAAGAATCACTAAGCGCTGATTAATTTTCTCTGCTGAACGCAGCCAAATCTTTCCATCTTTGCAGTTTTGCCGCGTTTTTGATAATAAATGGGTGCGTTCAGCAGAACGTTTGTTTTGCAACTGTTGTAAGTTTCCTTCGCGCTAATTGGATCATACTTTTAGATCTAGAAGAATGGTCCTATCTCAGCAGACAATCATAAAACGGTTGCAAAACTGTCGAGTCTGCTGAACGCAGCAATTGTAAAATAGATGTGTTTCTGAATATATCGATCAGAAGAAGGAACGAGAGAGAATTTAAGAAAGATATTGAAGCTAATTGATTTTTATGAGAACTGAAATTGCTACTATAATTGAATTCAATATCTTAGGTGTTGAAGGAAATTCACATAACACTTGATAGAATAGTATTTAATAGTATACAAAAATCTTTAAGAATACATTACATAGTTTCAATGTAATTTTTATAAACTTCACTATTTATTTTTTGTACTATATGCACAGCCTTTATTCCCTGTGTACCTTTGACAAATAGTGGTGTTTATCCACATCAATAACTTTTTATTGTACATCTCCTCAGAGATGCACATGACAGACATTGCAAACACAGTCAGTCTTGCATTCTTGATAAACTCTGCAGTAATCTGTTCTGGTATCTTTTGAAAGTTTGTGTCGAGACACGGGTATCCAGTGACATATACGTAGTCAAACGGTTGAATTTCTTTACCCAACAAACCATCATTTGTCTCTGACCACCACTCATTCTCCAGAGCCTATCATTAGAAATAATTCATCTATATTGTTGCAATAAATACATATAGATCATAGAATTTATTGATTTTGTAATTTACAAATTTATAAATTATAAATTCTTATAGCAAATTCACTTGCATTATACTAAATTAGTGCACTAAAACTGTTATCATGAAATTAGCAAAGTTAAACATGAATAGATATTTTAAACAATTAAATATCAATAATGATATTGTCATGTTATTTAACAAAATATATATCTCGAAGTTGATTACATTATGCCATTACATTTAGATACTTTATATAAAGTAACCTTTAATGTGCACTAATCCAGTGTAGCACGAGTGACCGAATTTACTATTAAATTCTTACAGCTATATCATGTAAAGATGCATCATGTGGATAGGAGAATTTTGGACGTGTCTCAGGAAATTTCTTTGGACAGCTTCTACCCGCTTTTGCCTCACTTATTAAATTTCCAGCTTGGTTCCTGTATTTCTCATCAATTTCCTGTCGTTTTTTCAATGAGTACATATATTGTTCCAATTTATAATTAACATGTGCCACTCCTGTCCCATCCTCAACTGTAAGAGAATCCAAGAGTTCAAGTGCCTTCTTGGATATTGTTAAACTTGTTGCTCATACCTTAAGTCTATTCTTTTCAATTGAACTTGTTGCACGATTCATCTTTATTTTTCTTTTCTCCACATTGGAGAAAAAAAAGAGGGACAGTGTAAGAAGTTCAGCTAAAAAAGGAAACAAGTCTCTTTCCTTACTTGTCAGAAACAGATTATTGGCATTGTGCTTAACACGCGTAACAGTTCCGACTAGTTCGATTTTTTTTATTTTAATATGAGGCATATTGAATGGGTGAAAATTCACGTAGCGGCCTTCCTTATAGGGTACTAATCGGTACAGCTCCATAATGAGTATTGGTATATTCAACGTCGTTCGTGAATCTGAAAATGGAATTGATATTGTCACATGTCCAAGGACTTAAATAACTCCCTGTGTAACACAAATTAACAATAACATTACATTAATGTTACAATTTCTCAACAATATAAATGTAATATAACACATGTTAGTACCTAGGGTACCTTCCAGCAAGAAATACAATCATTCCATTCTTTAGAGGAATAGCTATGATTGACCAGTTTCATAACTACGAATTAAGGATGTCCATGTAAACGTAAGTCATAGATGATACAAGGTTTGTTTGCATCGTATTCTTCTTATATGTCGTATTATTCTTATATATCTATATTTCAACATGCTCCAACATGCTTTTACCATAGTTCATACTCACTCTGAGTTCCTTTGAATGAGTAGAAGCTAGTGTATTGAAGCTTGTGATGTGAAAAAACCTATTGTGTAATTTAATGAATCATTACATCTTTATTGTTTACCAAATCAAGATGAAATGATCACTTATTATACTATGCCCTTGCTGGAAAGCATCACTAATGTTACTTTTAGATGCTCTAGCCGAATAAATTTGCCCACACCAGTTCTGACGTTGATACCAGGCCATTCCTTTTTCGTCGAGAGGGATTTCTGGTGGTTATCATACTCCTCTCTGCTGAAAACAGTAATACCCTTCACTGATTTCTCGTTCGACATTTTCCTCGTGTGATTAAATTTGGGTTTAGTCTTTCATAAGATTCTTTTATCATCGCGATGATGTTTCGTTGCTTCCTCGACTGCATTCAATGCATTCGGTATCACGACGCTTACTGACCGCTCAGTGAGCTCTTGTACCTGTTTGGTCTATATTTTTAGCTCTAATGGAATATGCCAATGGGCGCATTCAGCGGACTCAACAGTTGAGTGAGCGCTTGCTGTTATTGGTGTATTCTTTTAGATCATCCAATAGTAGTGAGCCCTCACGGATCTGCTCCGCACTATTCGAGTCTGCTGAACGCAACCAATCAGATGCAAGAGCTCACTGAGCGCTCTACGCTTCTAGATGCACCCAAGGGTGCGTTCGAAAATCCTACTTTGAGTAGAAATTTTTCTATTTGCCGTTCGGAAATTAACTCGGGTCGTACAAAACTGACTTACCAGTTGCGTTCGGAAATATCGAGTAAAGTCACTAAATTGTACTCTAGGGTCGCTTTTTCAACCTCTGAATTTTCAGAGGTTGGCAGGGTAACTCGTTTAACCGTCATGCTATCTTGGCGCGAACTGCGAAGTGACAAAAATGGAACGAACTGAGATGTCTGAGACCGTCACAGCTCTCATTAATCCGATTAAAGGACGTCATATCCCTTATCGTTTAGAAAACGGTGATTTGGTCATTCAAAATGACATTATGATAATAATTGATCAACATGGTAATTACTTTTATTTTCTATAGTTGTTTTTAGAAATTTTATTCAATATTTAGGTTACATTCCAAAATGTCTTTTCCAAAGAAAATTTAAGTTTAAAATTTAAAATTAATTTAAATTAATTTAAATAAATAATATAAATTTATTTTATAAATAAATTTTATAATATAAATTTATTTTATTAATATAAATTAATTTTAATTTAAAATTTAATTTTAAGTCTTCTTTGATATTAGATGAATGAAGGGCCTAAAAAATTTAGAATATGAATGCACAGTCAGTCGGCCACACTTTTCAACAATATAAATGAGGTTATGCACCCGAGCCGAGACGACTTCACCATTACTTAATAAGTACTTTACCTTATACGTTCGGAAAGTCGTTGAATTTTAGTGTTACTCCGATCGAGTTTTACGTTTACCCATACCCAACCTTACTCTACCCGACGAGTAGATTTTCGAACGCACCCCAATGGGTGCATTCAGTACTATAATTGCTCACTGAGTGCTCAGTGAGCTCTTGTACCTGTTTGGTCTATATTTTTAACTCTAATGGAATATGCCAATAAGATGCAAGAGCTCAATGAGCGGTCGTGCTTCTGAATAAAATTTTTCAATACGATTGGTTAACGTATAAACCAATCATATTGAAGAATTTTACAACAGTTGCAAAGCTGCTTTCTCTGCTGAATGCAGCCATTGGTTGCGTTCAGCAGACTCAACAGTTTTGCAACCGTTTTATGATTGTCTGCTGAGATAGGACCATTCTTCTAGATCTAAAAGTATGATCCAATCAGCGCGAAGGAAACTTCCAACAGTTGCAAAACAAACGTTCTGCTGAACGCAGCCATTGGTCGCGTTCAGCAGACTCAACTGTTGTGGAGCGGATCCATGAGCGCTTGCTGCTATTGGTGTATTCTTTTAGATCATCCAATAGCAGCGAGAGCTTACTGCTGCAACCAATGGATGCGTTCAATACTATAACCGCTCAGTGAGCGCTTGCATCTGATTGGCATATTCCGTTAGAACTAAAAATATAGACCAAACAGATACAAGCGCTCATTGAGCGGTCGTAGTACTGAATGCACCCAATGATGCAACGTTTCACCGTAAAATCACTAGATTATAAAGTACCATAAACTTGCCTCAATCTTGAAGTCGATTATGGCTGCGATCGGGACATTATCGACCCTCTTGACGCAAAATGCGTTCATTTTCAAACTTGTGTATTTATATAAACGTACTTTGTTGGGAAAATAAAACTATAAAATATGTAAATCAATTTTTTAATTGTAAGTATATTTATGAACCAAAAGAAACACTGTACGAATGCTTAATTTTTGTATTTTTTAGTCTAATATACAGGTTTATTTGTTGTTGAAGTATTAGTGCATAAACGTTTATTGTAGAGGCGCAGAAATAAGTACGAGTTTCGCGATAATACTCTCTGATGATATTCTTGATCACCTCTCCAAAGATCAGCTTCCAAAGTTCCAAGCGAACAAACGAGCGATTTCTAATATGAATCATTTCAGAGATTAATCTATTATTATAAGAGGGTTCGTTATTTAAAATTTTAACATCCTTCCAATTAAAATTGTGATAGGATAAAGTAATTTTATGTATTTTCTTAATATTTTCATGTTTTACTTTATTACAAGATTGTACGTATAGCAGTTAATTTTATGTTATAATTCAAATTTATTTTTAACATTGATAATGACACGAACGATGTCGAAACGTCTGTATTGTTTATATTTAAAATGTTGATCATTATTATTATTTGAATATTAAAAGTTATTGTTTCGGCTCGTAGCCCTTCTATGTTATTATTGTTAATTTTATTTTTATTGAGCTAGATTATTATTTATTATACGTTAAAATATAAATGCATATGACATGATACACGCAAATTATCGAACTATGAACACTGAATTTATATAAGTAAATAACCATGGTTTCCTTATATTTGATACAGAGATTATTTTATAACAGCATTTACATGTATATAACATTAGATTACAAAATATAATTCATAAACTTTAATTCTAATATACTTATCTAATATGTAGTATACTTACGAATAAACAAACATATATGTACGTGTGTGTGATCCGTGCGTGCGTGCGTGCAAGTGTATGTGTATAAATATGTACACACACTTACACACATACAGAGTGTCCCGTTTTAATTTATCCAGGCAAATATCTCGAAAAATATAAAACATACGGAACACAATGGCTGCGTTCAGCAGAACGTTTGTTTTGCAACTGTTGGAAGTTTCCTTCGCGCTAATTGGATCATACTTTTAGATCTAGAAGAATGGTCCTATCTCAGCAGACAATCATAAAACGGTTGCAAAACTGTTGAGTCTGCTGAACGCAGCCAATTTTCAGATGAAAATGAAACGGTTTCGAGGAAACGTATTTTAGTCCCCTGATAGCAAAATGTTAGCAATTTGGGGCCAAATTGGCAGCAAACTCCATCAGATTTTGATTACAAAACCTATTGACAGGCTATACCACAGATTGATGGCAGAAACCGAGCAGAGTCTATTCGAATCAGGTTCTGCTCTCAATCTGTTGTCAGGTTATGCAAGATTTTGCTGGCATAGCATGTCTAGTAGGCTTTGTTATATTTCTGGCAGCAATTTGCTGACAATGTCAGATAATACAAATTCTGTATACAATTTGATGCCTTTCTGCAATCAAAAATTGGTAGCAGGTTCTGTTTAAAATCTGTCTCCTCAGGCTTTGCTATCAGTCATGTTTTTTTTCTAGATGGAGGCGCTAAAAAAATTTTTATTACATAATATAATTCTAATTATTCTGCATATAAAAATAGGTATTAAAGTATTGATATAAAAAAAACCAATAGTTTACGAGGTTATTTATACTTTATTCTTGCACACATATTGACATGAAATATTGAATAGCACCAAGCTATTAATTTCTTTATAATTGTACTTAATACTTTTATATGCGAAACAATTAGAGGAATCATATTATATGTATATAAAAAATCATACAATTCCATAAAGTGAAGGTGATTTTCATCTTTTTGGCCCTTCCATGTAGAAAAAAAATAACGTGACCAAAAATGTCATCCTCGAAACCGTTCCACTTTTATCTGAAATATTTTTTTGTGTGTATATATATATATATAGTATGTGGGGGGGGCGCACAAGATAGTCTATTTTAGTCAATATATTAAATTTTCATAAAGAAAAAAATTTGCTATGAACGCTAATTCTATGCCATGACAGCAAATTCTATTTGCAAATATATATCGCAAAATTATTTGCGGGTGTAATAAGTACTTATTTTTTCATACTTGCTACAAAAATTTATAACAAATGCAAAATATTTGTCAAATATGCAAATTTGTTTGCTGTTTATAGCAAACAAATTTGACAATTAAATTTTATAACCCCTTTTGTATTTATAGTAATTTTTTTTGTATTCCTGAAATTATTAATGATACAAAAAAATGTTTCAAATCCATCAAATGGATCCGTTCCAAAAGGAACGTATTTCGGTCAGGTTGTTTTTCTTCTGTGGAGAGATACCAAAAAAGATACAAAAAAAAGTAATCTCTACTTTTTTAAATGGAATTATATGATTTTTTTCACATAGGATGATACCTCTAATATTTTTCTGCATATAAAAGTATTAAGATAGAGGTATCAAAAAACCAATTGTTTATGAAATATTTTATATTTTATTCTAGCTCTCTTCCCTTTTGACATGTGTTAAATATTTCGTAATCTATTAAATTTTTATAATTTATTTAATATTTTAATACTTTAATACTTTTACGAACAGAATAATAAGATGAATCAATTGATAAAGAAAACACAGTTGCTTTTTTAAAAAAAGATTTCGTCTACATATTTTGTTGAAGCAGCTGTGTTTTGTTTACATCAATTGATTCATCTCATTAGTCTGTTCATGAGAGGTATACATTATTAAGTAAGAGGTATTAAGGTATACAGTAATAAAAAAATTAATAGTTTACAAGATATTTAACATTTTATATCAACGCATGTCAAAATAAAGTATAAAGTATCTCGTAAAGTATTGATTTTTTTATATCTCTCCCTTAGTACTTTGATATGCAGAATAATTAGAGAAATCATATTATGTAAAATAATCATTTAATTCTATTTAAAAAGTGGAGGTGACTTTCATATGTTTTTGGTGCTTCTACTTAGAAGAGAAACATGACCAAAATACGTCCTCGAAATCATTCCACTTTTATCTCAAACATTTTTTCGTATCATTAATAATTTCGGAGAAAATTGACTGTATTAATTAAAATAGAACTATCCAATATACGTATATACATTTATATATGACGTCTTTGTTCTGTAGACGTATCTAAAGTCACAGTAAAGTTTTACGTAACAAACGTTTGTCATATGTATAGTAAGTTGTTACATTAATTTTTTTCTCTACAATTTTTTCTCTTGAGTTTGTTATTTTACTATAATATAAAATTTAAAAATAATTATAAATAGATTAATTAAAGCTAGAAAACAATAATAATATAAAGAAAAAGATTGTGTAACTATTTCTGTTTTTATTTTTTTCATACAAGGAAGATTGCAGAAAGCATTACCGGTAATAATATAATTATTAAAAAATACTGTTCCTCTAAATGTTAACTTAAAGGATATGTCACCTTTGTATTGTCCAACACCTTATATCTTTTGGAAAATAAATTAATCATTGACCTTGCTCAAATACAATCCTTATTCTAGTATGTTTATGTACATACATCTATTCTTTATTCCATGGTATAAGAATAAAAGGTATTCCATTCTCAAAGATGCCAACCGTCTTGAACATAGGCTGCTATTTCATCAATCAAAACGTTACCCTAAATTTTAAAAAGGAACATAATTGCTACCATGTGCATCAGGAGATACAGTAGTATCTCAGCGCTAAGACAAGCGAAGCGACATTAGCGCGAGATTCCACAAACTTTGGGACAAACATTTGATTTGGTCTGCCGCTATTATGCGCAATGGAATACCTTATATCCTTATATCATGCTTTATTCCACGTATCTGTACTATGGCCTGTGCGCGCGCGCTGGTATGTGCAGACGCACGCACGCGCATACGTGTGTATATATTTATGGATATATATAATATTAAAGATTATATTTTTCGAATTATTTATGAATACCACTATTGTACATCGCTGATCTGCTTTATATTTGAAAAGTTATATCCATATTAATCAATGTTATTAAGCGAGTCACCTTTTCACGCATGCGCATTCGAGTGTAACATCAACACTGTACTAATGTCAAACTTATAACGATCCTGTTAAAGCCCCATTTTGAGTGTCTATAAAAATTATATTACTTTATTGGAAAATCAATAAGTATTATAGAACAATAGAAATTTTAAAAAAGTCATAAATCCTTATTATCTACCTTACAGCGAATTCGATTCGCACTCAGTGCGTCATTAAAGTCGTTATACATACACTGACGTAAAAATGTATGTTTAATACAAATATAGAAACAAGTTAAACCGTGAAATCTTCAACACACTTTATTGTACTGTTAGGTAAAATATGTAGTTTATAATTTGAAATATTTGCATTTCACTTTTACATTCAGATAAATCAGTGTACAACAGAGCTTTAATGTGCACCATTGCACATTAATGCATTTAACCGAATTCGCTATTAATCTTCTTGTTGCCAGATCTGGACGAATCCCGCCGAAATTATAGGACATCTCTTTTACACTCTATATACATTATTAGATTTTTCCAGCGTTTCAATGCGTATGCGTGAAAAAGTGACTCGTCAACATCACTGATATTAATCGACATTGAAATATTCGTTACTATTTTATTTAACTTCGATCACTTTCGGAATCTTGTTGCCTTTTGTATAATGCTACGTTGCTCTCTGTATAATCCATTACACGCCGCTGACATTGTCTCTTGTATTGTTGTTGTTTATGATAAATCTTGAATGCACCTTTTATTGTTATAAAGGCTGCACCGCCCTACAGATATAAGAAATAGAAATATACAGGGTGTCCCATTTCTATCGCATTTCCTTTTAAATACGTATTCTTGAGGTAAAATTAGAGACAAAAATACTTAAAAAATGTCGAGGCTATAATAGTTTTTAACTTAATAATGATTAAAGGTCTCTAATCACAGAGTTGACATTTCACGCGCTCAGGCATGATGAAGTGTCAAGTAAAGATGCTCAATAAGAGCCTTCTAATCAAGTTCAAAACTATCGTAAAAATATGCAATGATATTTTTATTAAGAAATTACTCTTACTTCTATGTAGAATCTATTTATACATTACGTTTGCACAATTAATATCGCAACATACCACAAAATGTCAGTTCAATAATGAGATATTACATGTGGTAAAGTTATACTTTTATCTAGATACATTCCAGTGTTGGAAAGTATCTAGATATATATAATATCTAGATACTTTAGCTGTACTTAAGTGTATTATCTAAATCCTTATAAGCGGAGATACCTGTATCTATATCTGAGTATTTTTTTGTACGGTACTTTTGTGTAGCTTTTGGTTGTTTTCACCGCTTAGGTAATTTTAGTTCTTAGTATTTAGTGAACGGTAACTAACGAACCTCACCGAGGACTACCGAGGCCTTAATAATATTCTTCGCAATAATCGGTATATGTAAGGAATCGTCTTTCTTTCAGGCGACGTAATATAAACAATAAAAATCTTATTTTAGAATTATTTAAGCATTAAAATATCTAGCTTCGACCGTTATAGGCATTTTAATTTCTAGTATTGATTGTGTTCTCACATATTTCACATCACGATCTAAAATAAGGTTCTTATTAAACAATTATTAACAAAACAATTTTTATAAATGGTAAGCAATTATCGAACACGAGATACATATTCAGCAGTATGGGATGTCTCATTTCACACGTGATGTTTCACTTTGCTCCTAGGCAGAGCAAGATGTGGGGTGGACATCGTTTCGCATGGAAAGTTGAACGCCAATAGAGGAGAGCGATGGGATGGATCTCGCTTCGCGTGGAAAATGAGACGTTTTTAGGCAAGGAAGAGAAGGGATGAACCTCACTTCACGTGAAAAGTCGAATGCCCCTAGACAAGGGGGGAAGATGGGATGGATCTCATTTCGCAAGAAAAGTTGAACGTCTCCAAGCAGGGAGGAGATGGGGTTGACCTCGCTTCGTGTGGAAAGTCGAACACCTCAAAGCACGGGAGGAAGTGAAGTGGACTTGGGGTAAATGTTTACAATAGGGCACCCGATTCCAATGACCTTAATATATATTAATCTTGATATATGTATCAAGGTCATGACCTCCAACAGATTTTAATCGTTACTTGTAAGTTGTTAAAGTAATTAATAAAAAAATGTCACTGCTGTACGGAACAAAATGAGGTGTATAACTGTACTGTTCCATATGAATTTTCGAATTCCACATGAAGCGAAATCCACCCCACTTCCCCCCTCCCCGTCTCGAGGCGTACAACTTTTCACGCGGAACGATGTGATCTGCGAACTCCGTTATTATAAAAATAATTAAAAAAATAAGAATTGTACAATAATTAGAAAATTAAAAAAATTTTTTTTCATTAATATATGGTATTTTCCCAGATAGACAAAAATGTATATAAATTTTACAACATTACGTTTATATTAGAATCATCCAATGCGTAATAGATGAGCTGATTGTGATTCAAAATGATTGCAGCCATATTTAGTAAATCAGAAAAAGAAACACCGTGATGTAAATATGAGAAACAAAAAATCTGATTCTTTGTTTCTTATATTTACATATATCATGGTGTTTCTTTTTCTGATTTACTAAATACAACTGCAATATTTTGAATCACAATCGACTCATCTATTATGCATTGGATGATTTTAATATAAAATGTTATAAAGTTTATGTACATTTGTCCATCTGGGAATATTTTAACGAAAAAAATTTGTTAATTTCAAATTACAGTTTTTACTTTTTTAATTATTTTTATGTACAACTTATTTACATATATTCTTTCACATACAATTTATTATCGGTTCATATATAATTTATTATAATAATGATGCACTGGCTATCACAATATTTCTGAAAATGCATATAGAGTACAGTCGAACCTAAGATCTCTAGGGTGCTACTCTAACTCCGTTAACACTATAATTGCATGCTTGTCTGGACACTTTGGCATTTATCCTGTCCCGATCATATCTCGCGCGAAAATCAAACACATTAGTGTATCAAAATCGACATCTATTTATTTTGCCAAATTTTACACGTATATTTATCTTACTTTATGTGACATAAAATAAAGAAAAATTTACAAATCATTTATGCTTATTATGGCATTACGTAATAGTTAGTCTTGAAATTTTTGTATTAGAATTTTTGTCTCTAAATCAAGAGTACATCTTTAATAGGAAATGCAGCAGAAATGGGAGACTCTATATTATCATGAAATTATATGCACATAGTAAAAAACTATTTATATAAAAATAAATAGCTTATAATAGCAGTTTAAACAAGATAATTCTTTAGCCATATAAAAAAGATTAATTTTTGACATGTGAAATCATTTTGTACATATTAAAAATGATATACTTTAGTAATTTTTTTTTTAAAAGAATTAAAAAAATACATACCAATAATGTTCTCTGAAAATTGGAACTTATACTTTCGAAGAATATCCTTCCACACAGACTAGCAATGGTTGGCAATAAAAGTGCACCACAAAGAACACGCGTTGCAGATACCGGATCATTCATTGGTGGTATATCTTCAGATTGTATACTTGTGTCTTCGTCAGTATAACTGTAATAATTATATATTAAAAGCATTATTTTAATTATATAAATACACTTTCTTATTATATTTTCTATTTTATTGTTATTTTTTATACAAATAAAAACTATTAATTCATAAACATATAACTTTTAAACATATTTGTACATATAGAGAATAAATCATCAGAAATTATTCTTTTAATAGGAAGAAATTCAATATGAACGAGCAAAAACGATGTTCTTGTTTTAATTAATATATATATATTATGTATTTTATATAAATATACTGTGTAGAACATTTCGACTTAATTAGGTTCTCATCAATCACAAAAATCAAATTTATATTAAAAAATACAAATAAAAAAAAAAAATTTTATTGATAAACACGTAACATGATACTTCCTTCGTTGTTAAGAATTAATAAATTATAACAATATAGTTAAATGAATATTATATTTATTTATTTATTGGAATAGCAAAAGATAAGACGACAGCAATAACTGTTGCTATGAAATTATACAGTAATATATGAAAGTATAATATGATGACATGCCTATCAAATTATACAGTAATATATGAAATGAATGAATTTCATGAATGAATTCATTTTCAATTCTATAATGGACACAATTGTTTTTCTAAATGAAGACACTTTCAAAATTCCAAGATTATATTTTTCAAATGAATCATTTTTTTACATAATTCAATTATCTTTAGTCAGTATATGAAAGTATTAAGATAAAATCAACGAAAAGTGAATATTTTATATTTCACATTTTATATCGATATAGAATGTATCGAAATAAAAAATGTAATATATTTTGCAAACTATTCATTTTCCAATGACTTTATCTTAATACTTTGTATTATATAAAATAAAGAGGATTGATTTATAACTAAGGAATTTTCATATGCTGAGTGAAAAATTTCAAACCCATAATAAGACAAATATTTCGAAAAATATGAAAGATACGAAGAAATGTTTTCAGTAAAAGTTGTATGGTTTGATGAGACGCAAATAATGATAAAATTAATTTATTTTCAAGATCATAGACATAAAGATTGCCATTCTTTAAACTCAAATTATATAATATTAAACAAAGAATTTCTTAAGACCGTAAATGTAAATACACAGCAAGTTTAGGGAAAGGACTTAAATGGTCAAGCTGAATCTTGAGTGCTTAAATAATTCGATATGAATTTAAACTACAAATGTAGTCATTTAAATTGCGTGCTGAATTGATTTTTTGATCTTAAAATCCGACTGAACTATACAGTAATATTACAATGCCTTTTGTATAATGCTACGTTGCTCTCTGTATAATCCATTACACGCCGCTGACATTGTCTCTTGTATTGTTGTTGTTTATGATAAATCTTGAATGCACCTTTTATTGTTATAAAGGCTGCACCGCCCTACAGATATAAGAAATAGAAATATACAGGGTGTCCCATTTCTATCGCATTTCCTTTTAAATACGTATTCTTGAGGTAAAATTAGAGACAAAAATACTTAAAAAATGTCGAGGCTATAATAGTTTTTAACTTAATAATGATTAAAGGTCTCTAATCACAGAGTTGACATTTCACGCGCTCAGGCATGATGAAGTGTCAAGTAAAGATGCTCAATAAGAGCCTTCTAATCAAGTTCAAAACTATCGTAAAAATATGCAATGATATTTTTATTAAGAAATTACTCTTACTTCTATGTAGAATCTATTTATACATTACGTTTGCACAATTAATATCGCAACATACCACAAAATGTCAGTTCAATAATGAGATATTACATGTGGTAAAGTTATACTTTTATCTAGATACATTCCAGTGTTGGAAAGTATCTAGATATATATAATATCTAGATACTTTAGCTGTACTTAAGTGTATTATCTAAATCCTTATAAGCGGAGATACCTGTATCTATATCTGAGTATTTTTTTGTACGGTACTTTTGTGTAGCTTTTGGTTGTTTTCACCGCTTAGGTAATTTTAGTTCTTAGTATTTAGTGAACGGTAACTAACGAACCTCACCGAGGACTACCGAGGCCTTAATAATATTCTTCGCAATAATCGGTATATGTAAGGAATCGTCTTTCTTTCAGGCGACGTAATATAAACAATAAAAATCTTATTTTAGAATTATTTAAGCATTAAAATATCTAGCTTCGACCGTTATAGGCATTTTAATTTCTAGTATTGATTGTGTTCTCACATATTTCACATCACGATCTAAAATAAGGTTCTTATTAAACAATTATTAACAAAACAATTTTTATAAATGGTAAGCAATTATCGAACACGAGATACATATTCAGCAGTATGGGATGTCTCATTTCACACGTGATGTTTCACTTTGCTCCTAGGCAGAGCAAGATGTGGGGTGGACATCGTTTCGCATGGAAAGTTGAACGCCAATAGAGGAGAGCGATGGGATGGATCTCGCTTCGCGTGGAAAATGAGACGTTTTTAGGCAAGGAAGAGAAGGGATGAACCTCACTTCACGTGAAAAGTCGAATGCCCCTAGACAAGGGGGGAAGATGGGATGGATCTCATTTCGCAAGAAAAGTTGAACGTCTCCAAGCAGGGAGGAGATGGGGTTGACCTCGCTTCGTGTGGAAAGTCGAACACCTCAAAGCACGGGAGGAAGTGAAGTGGACTTGGGGTAAATGTTTACAATAGGGCACCCGATTCCAATGACCTTAATATATATTAATCTTGATATATGTATCAAGGTCATGACCTCCAACAGATTTTAATCGTTACTTGTAAGTTGTTAAAGTAATTAATAAAAAAATGTCACTGCTGTACGGAACAAAATGAGGTGTATAACTGTACTGTTCCATATGAATTTTCGAATTCCACATGAAGCGAAATCCACCCCACTTCCCCCCTCCCCGTCTCGAGGCGTACAACTTTTCACGCGGAACGATGTGATCTGCGAACTCCGTTATTATAAAAATAATTAAAAAAATAAGAATTGTACAATAATTAGAAAATTAAAAAAATTTTTTTTCATTAATATATGGTATTTTCCCAGATAGACAAAAATGTATATAAATTTTACAACATTACGTTTATATTAGAATCATCCAATGCGTAATAGATGAGCTGATTGTGATTCAAAATGATTGCAGCCATATTTAGTAAATCAGAAAAAGAAACACCGTGATGTAAATATGAGAAACAAAAAATCTGATTCTTTGTTTCTTATATTTACATATATCATGGTGTTTCTTTTTCTGATTTACTAAATACAACTGCAATATTTTGAATCACAATCGACTCATCTATTATGCATTGGATGATTTTAATATAAAATGTTATAAAGTTTATGTACATTTGTCCATCTGGGAATATTTTAACGAAAAAAATTTGTTAATTTCAAATTACAGTTTTTACTTTTTTAATTATTTTTATGTACAACTTATTTACATATATTCTTTCACATACAATTTATTATCGGTTCATATATAATTTATTATAATAATGATGCACTGGCTATCACAATATTTCTGAAAATGCATATAGAGTACAGTCGAACCTAAGATCTCTAGGGTGCTACTCTAACTCCGTTAACACTATAATTGCATGCTTGTCTGGACACTTTGGCATTTATCCTGTCCCGATCATATCTCGCGCGAAAATCAAACACATTAGTGTATCAAAATCGACATCTATTTATTTTGCCAAATTTTACACGTATATTTATCTTACTTTATGTGACATAAAATAAAGAAAAATTTACAAATCATTTATGCTTATTATGGCATTACGTAATAGTTAGTCTTGAAATTTTTGTATTAGAATTTTTGTCTCTAAATCAAGAGTACATCTTTAATAGGAAATGCAGCAGAAATGGGAGACTCTATATTATCATGAAATTATATGCACATAGTAAAAAACTATTTATATAAAAATAAATAGCTTATAATAGCAGTTTAAACAAGATAATTCTTTAGCCATATAAAAAAGATTAATTTTTGACATGTGAAATCATTTTGTACATATTAAAAATGATATACTTTAGTAATTTTTTTTTTAAAAGAATTAAAAAAATACATACCAATAATGTTCTCTGAAAATTGGAACTTATACTTTCGAAGAATATCCTTCCACACAGACTAGCAATGGTTGGCAATAAAAGTGCACCACAAAGAACACGCGTTGCAGATACCGGATCATTCATTGGTGGTATATCTTCAGATTGTATACTTGTGTCTTCGTCAGTATAACTGTAATAATTATATATTAAAAGCATTATTTTAATTATATAAATACACTTTCTTATTATATTTTCTATTTTATTGTTATTTTTTATACAAATAAAAACTATTAATTCATAAACATATAACTTTTAAACATATTTGTACATATAGAGAATAAATCATCAGAAATTATTCTTTTAATAGGAAGAAATTCAATATGAACGAGCAAAAACGATGTTCTTGTTTTAATTAATATATATATATTATGTATTTTATATAAATATACTGTGTAGAACATTTCGACTTAATTAGGTTCTCATCAATCACAAAAATCAAATTTATATTAAAAAATACAAATAAAAAAAAAAAATTTTATTGATAAACACGTAACATGATACTTCCTACGTTGTTAAGAATTAATAAATTATAACAATATAGTTAAATGAATATTATATTTATTTATTTATTGGAATAGCAAAAGATAAGACGACAGCAATAACTGTTGCTATGAAATTATACAGTAATATATGAAAGTATAATATGATGACATGCCTATCAAATTATACAGTAATATATGAAATGAATGAATTTCATGAATGAATTCATTTTCAATTCTATAATGGACACAATTGTTTTTCTAAATGAAGACACTTTCAAAATTCCAAGATTATATTTTTCAAATGAATCATTTTTTTACATAATTCAATTATCTTTAGTCAGTATATGAAAGTATTAAGATAAAATCAACGAAAAGTGAATATTTTATATTTCACATTTTATATCGATATAGAATGTATCGAAATAAAAAATGTAATATATTTTGCAAACTATTCATTTTCCAATGACTTTATCTTAATACTTTGTATTATATAAAATAAAGAGGATTGATTTATAACTAAGGAATTTTCATATGCTGAGTGAAAAATTTCAAACCCATAATAAGACAAATATTTCGAAAAATATGAAAGATACGAAGAAATGTTTTCAGTAAAAGTTGTATGGTTTGATGAGACGCAAATAATGATAAAATTAATTTATTTTCAAGATCATAGACATAAAGATTGCCATTCTTTAAACTCAAATTATATAATATTAAACAAAGAATTTCTTAAGACCGTAAATGTAAATACACAGCAAGTATTAGGGAAAGGACTTAAATGGTCAAGCTGAATCTTGAGTGCTTAAATAATTCGATATGAATTTAAACTACAAATGTAGTCATTTAAATTGCGTGCTGAATTGATTTTTTGATCTTAAAATCCGACTGAACTATACAGTAATATTACAAATTAAATTGACTAACAATTTAATAATTTGATGTTTATAGGCATCTTACCATACAAATATCTTAATGATGCCAAATAACACATTAAAATCTGTAAATAATTTTCTTGCGAAAAATATTACCTCGAATTGTATAATTTTATTACATTTATATGATATAATTTCTTTAATTATTTTGCATATCAAAGTATTAAGATGGAAACATCGAAAAATCAACAGTTTTTTTTAGTTATTTTATACTTTATTCTGAAACATAATCACATGAAATATTAAATCTTATAAACTAATTTTTTTATAATCGTACTTTAACATATACTTTGATACACAGAATAATGAGATTAATCAATTGATATAAAGAAAACACACAGTTGCTTTAAGAAAAATATATGTAGTTGTGCGTATTGCACACAACATGAATAATATTTTTAATAAGCAACTAGATGTTCTCTCTTTTATACCAATTGATCTCATTATTATGTACATACATAAAAGTATCAAGAAATAATAATCAAAAAATTAAAAATTAGAAATTTTAGGAATCATGTCAAAATAATTAGGGTATCATATTATGTAAAAAAAATTCATATATTACCATTTAAAAAATGGCAATAACCATCATATGACCTTCAAAAATTGTTTTTTTTGGAAATTAATTTTACTATTATTTGGGTCCCATCAAGTCATACAATTTTTGCCTGGAACGTTTTTCCATATCTTCCACATTTTTCAAGATATTTGTCTTATGTCCCATTACGTTTAAAGATTTTTACCCTGTATATGGAATAAGATCATATTGACTATAAAATGTCGTTAAAAAATCGTTAAAAATTAATAAACTTTCAATTTCTTTTAAAACTCATCTTTAGGATATATTGGAAACAGAAATTTTTACTAATGTGTTCTAATGTGTCTCTATATAAACATAAGAGTGTGTCCAGACTATCGAATCGAACCTCGAGCCGTGATCATTTCGGCTAACTGTCATTGTTTTTTGCCGAGCCGCATAACAAATGTTCACCAAAATGCTCGCAGTTCGAAGTGTGACTCGACAATTTGGTCGCATCCTAACACTATACACCCAGTGTAATACGTACTATTTCTAAAAAGTAATATTAGATTTCTTTGCAATAAAACAAATTAAAAAATTGTATTAGAACATAAATTTTATCATTACTGCACTATATATAATGAATACATATTTATTAAGAATAATATTGTTAATACAAACCTGCTCGGTAGAAAATGTCTTAAAATAGGAACTTTGGATGCATGCCTCCTCAAAAAACTAAGGGCTTGATCTTCCCAACGAAGCATTTTTCCCAAAACTAACATAATTGGAATGGTTGGCAAGCCAACCAGTAGAACTAAAGGATCAGCCTGTTCCATCATAGTAAGGCCGTCCTTGTGACCCACCACTTGCATAACAGTAACCGCACCATAAGTCACAGCTGTCCAATATATAGATCCAACTACAATACCAGCAGCAATAAAAGGACATACTCGGAAGATAACTGTGTCGATCGTATCGAGTACTACTACTAATGGACCTGCAATTAATTTACATGTAAGATACTCTACATGTACAAAAAAAATTGTAATATTCTATTACAATAAAATAATTGTTATAATGTATAAAGTATATACATTTAAGAAATACAACAATTATCGCACGCACGCACATACACACAAAAGGATCCCTGGGAAGAAATGTTTCATATATAATTATACATAATTACATAAAAAATTGACATTTTATGTATAATTATATATAAAATATGTCCACATATATAACATTTTTTCGGAGATCGTTCAAGTCAAACCCGGACTTTTAGTCTCATAAACATAAAAAGAGATCCGAGACATCCTATTAATTACGAATGAACACTGTCAAATTCTAAAATATATGCATAACACTCTCAAGAAGGAACGGCTTGGTTTAATCACTAAAGGCATTCTGTTTCTGTAGGACAATGCTTATCGCATCACTTACACATTACAGGAACTGTAATGTGCAAGTGGAGAGAATTATTGCCATATCCTTCTTACAGTTCTGACCTCGCTCCAAGTGATTTCCTGTTTAGGTCATTAAAAGATTTTCTGAGAAGTCAGCACTTCAGCAGTATTACGTGAAGCAAGCAGATTTGATTATAACTCCGACGTACTAACATGGGACCTGTCACAACCAGAATCCGAAACCAATTCGATTCTTCTTGAAATATGTTCTATTATTTTTAAACACAAAAATCTAAGACACATATTTTTTCCAAAATTTTGAAAAATCTAAATACATAGTTATAAAATTTATAAAAAAATCTAAAGTTTTGTCTAAAACAGTATTGGAATTTACTTGTAACTTTCAGCTTGGTTACTGTCCCTTATCTCCGCAGGTTGGTGAGGTAAAAGACAGTAACTAAGTTGAAAATCGGCTGAAAGTTGCAAGTAAATTCCAGCACTGGTCTAAAATATTTTTCTATACGTCTCACCGTTTTGCTGAGATAATTGATAAGAATGAAATGTAAGGACTCGTTTTGAGAAGTTATTTCATCTCTTAAATCTGAGATTGAGTCGATATAAAATACGCGACTTTTAGATTTTTGTTTAAAAACATATTTTAAGAATTGAATCGGTTCCGAATAGTTGTGACTAAATCCATTGTAAGATATCTTTCTACGCTAAGAACTAATGAAATGCTGGATCAAATGCATTAGCAGAGGATTATACATTGAGAAATAAAGATAGTTTCCAATCTCATAAATGCATTCTGTTATTCTGCACAATCAAAAGTCCCGGTTTAACTTGAACAACTTTCATATATACAGAATGTAACAGAGCAACTAGGCTTGTTTTTTTTAAAAAATATACATTTTCTGAAAAAATGTTCCAGACAAAAAAAAGTCGTAGACTTTTAAGTGATGCATTAGATAGCAATATTAGTGTAACTATGAATAACATTGTTAAGGTAAAGTGAAAATCACAATTAAAAGTTTTAAATGGAAACTCCTATTTTTGATTGCAATTTCTTGTAACTGATCTCGAGAGCTTTTCAAAGCATTATAATAAAAATATTTTTAAGTACTTTCCGAGATATGAGGTTTGAAAGTTACAGTACTGTCGACATTAGCATTGTCCAAGGTGATTGACGGATGGCTAAAACCTTTTGAATATTGTTCAGGGTCATGACCTAGACAACATATGAGCCGATATATTAAAGTCATTGGAGGTTATTGTATCTCTTATTTTCATTTTAAAGGTATTTTTCATTAAGGTCAAGGCCATTGGAAGTTGTTTTCAAAGAGAACTTGACCTTAATAAAAAATACCTTTATTATAATGTTTTGAAAATCTCTCAGCTACAAGATGTCAGCTACAAGAAAATGCAATAAAAAAATAGGAGTTTCCATTTAAACCTTTCAGTAATTTTTACGTTATCTTAACATCACTATCCAAGATCACACTAATATTGTTATCTAATGCGCCACTTAAAACTGTGTAATGTTTGTCCGGAACATTTTTCAACAAAATACAGCTTGGTACCACTGATACAACCACAGGGGGATTACCATGGAGATCATTTGGAGTCTCCTTTTTTTTAAATATTTATAGCAAAAAGTATATACATTTTTAATATTTCTAAAATGCTTAGTCACAATTTTGATATTTAAAAAATATTGTTTAATTAAAGATACAAAAAACATAGATCTTATTATATTATTCTTTTTTTGTGTTAATATAATTGAATTTAAAACGTTTTATAAATTATATGCATTTAAATATTTTTTCAATGTAATAATTTAACTAATAATTTAATATCGTTCCATATGTTTTAAAAAATTTTGCCTGTGGTATGATAATGATACTTCTTCTCCCCTCCTTGACAAAGTTCTGAATCCATCAATGCCTATTACGGTTGCTGTTATATTCTGTGGATGTATGTATATGTCTACTGTATGTATATGTGTAATATATATGTATATATATATATATATATGTGTGTATGTGTGTAAAATATTCACCCATGTTTGGATAAACTATAATATATTCTGTATTGCATTGTGGGCATGCTACAGCATGTCCAGCATGACCCTTTTGCTTCTCATCAACCCATCTCTGAATACAACCCTGGTGAACCCATTTTGTAGTGCCTCGGCAATGGCATGGTTTAACCCACGCTGCAGTTGCGTCATCTTCATCAGTTGCAAAACATACCCAACAATATCGCCTGCTAAATAAAAAGATTAACATTATAAATTGATATAGTATCAGACAACAATCACTATAATTTAAGGTTCTAAAATAACAAAAAATTAAAAGATAACTTGGAAAATATTTTTTAATAAATAAAAATTTTTAATAAATAAATAAAATAAATACACCAAGATCCAATACATCAAATTAGACTCTAATCAAGTCTGTACATTATCTTTTCATTTTGAAATGTGTGTGCGTGTGTGTGTAAATTGCTCAAAACAATTAGTTTGAACTTACTCTTCTTCTGGAGTCAACGATGGCACACTAGATGTAATTTGATTCGGTGAAGATGCCCCATCGGTGATATCAACAGATAGTTCATGATCTGTTACATCATCCCATGCATTTTGAGAACTATCTTCTTCCAGCGATGCTATTTGTGCCGTAGCTTGAGAATCAGATATTTCTGTTATAAAAAAAATAACATATATATATAGTTAATAAATTTTTATGTTATCTCTTTTGCGATGTTCAATTAACGCTAAATTATTTTATTGTTATTTTTATATTAAAGGAATTTTTTAGAAAATGTCTTTTGTTGCATATGGCTCGTAACCCTTCTCATTTGTCAATCAGAACATAAATGTTCTGTACATTAGGCAAAAAATTTCATTCGCTATATATTACCATTGTTAGGGTCAGTAGTTTGTCTATCGGATCTTAAATTTGTACTTAGTCTTCTTAAAGCCTCTTCTATGCTCGGAAGACGTCTGATGTTGGCCCTGGTTATACCTGACTCGATTCGCACTATCCTTCCACGGCTATCAAGTCCATAGGAGATATGCGGCATATTATCGTCCGACATTGTATCTCAGCAAAAGCTCACAAGTTCATCACTATTTTAAGAAAACACATTATTAAAACAATACCTACTTAATTATTGTTACAAACATATCGTTTTATAAACATGATTTGAATATGTTTTTAAACAGCATATTTATTCTTAATGGATAAACTTTTTCATTACTTTTGATATCCGAATGTAGAGAGGGAGGTTAGTAATGAGCAGAAGCTTCTATCATACAAGTTACACTTTCGGCATTTTACTACACAAATCACGTAAATATTATGCAAATATTTTTTGCACATTGTACATAGAATGGTTATTATTATGTTTCACACGATTGCTTTATTAATATACTTCACCAACATTATCTCATACCATATCAAAAAGCATAAATACACAAATTTGATTAAACAATAATATAAGAACGACGGTGTGTCAGTATCTTAGCGAACAAAATTGCGATTATCAACTACTATCAAATAACATAACATACGTAAGCGAGCTGAATGGAGCCGTTGTGATTGTTTTTCGATGATCCCTAAGATAAACGGACGTTGCACACAGCACGAGTTAAAACAGTCGGGAATTGTAATTGTAAGGCGTATAAAAACTAAAAACGCGAACGTTTCATAGAGATTTGTGCGGATCGGTAACTTCTCAAATATAATCATACGAGGATTATACGTCAGGATACGACACAAAACTGATGCTTTCGTAAGCGAGTGCAAAAAAAAGCGACAGCTCCTGGTAATTTGTCAAGGCATTTGTATACATTTCAGCGAATGGCATTGCGAAACAGTATAAAATATCCCAAGGATTTTGCAATGCATATGTACATACGTATATATATACCCGTGTACCGCAAGTTTCATTTAATTAATAATTATTTAATATTTTGTGCTTGGTTAGGGTTAGAGACCCTCTAATAAGAGTCGCCCCACTAAACAGCCAATTTTGATTGGTCCGCCATTTTTCAGCAATTTCCGCCTATATTCGAATGTCTATGGCTGTGGTCCACTTGACGCTACAAACGCTTGGAAGCAGTGGCTGCGTTCAGCAGAGAAAGCAGCTTTGCAACTGTTGTAAAATTCTTCAATATGATTGGTTTATACATTTAGATCTGTCAGGAACCAAAAGCAAGAACCAATCGTATTGAAGAATTTTACAACAGTTGCAAAGCTGCTTTCTCTGCTGAACGCAGCCATTCTTTGATTAGTCAATTCGTAAAATTCTTTGTTCTGATTGATCGCTCAAAGAGTTTGTAGCGTCAAGTGGACCGCAGCCTATATTGTAGGAATGAAAGCCATCACACGTACAAAAATTTTAGTCATAATCGTAAGGCCGTAAGCAAATCGGCCAATCACAGTCAAGCGTTTAAAAACGCGAGATCGTAATTTTGAATGTGATTGGTCGTTTGCGACCTTACGATTACAACTAATGCGGGGTCTACAATAGAAGTCGTAGCGATCGTAGGATCTTAAGTCGTAGAAAATTAACCAATCACAGTCGAATATGAGAAGAATAATCGACTCTGACTGGTCAATTTTCTACGACTTAAGATCCTACGACCGCTACGACTTCTATTGTAGACCCCGCATAAAATTTGAGCTTTGAGCGATGCGCGTATCGATACGCTAAAATTCGTTTGCAAATTAACTTATTTTGCGAAAAATCAATTTTTCCAACCAAGATGGTGCCATTTTAAACCGATATCTTTACAAAGAATCGTTTCTTTTTTTAACAAGGTTAAAAACTTCGTCTACTTCGAATCGAT